CCTGTTATGCAAGTGTATTGCATACTATTAAGTCTATAATTAATTGCAAAAAGTGACTGGTGTGTAGAAACTAGACCACGCACCTTTCAGGGCCCTCACTTACATGTCTGTACTAGTGGTGATAACCCGCTAAACCTTCCATTGTTCAGCATAACACAACGAGAATGATCCTACCCTGCTTATATGTGTGGGACATCATATAAACTTACCTGATGGACTCGATCTTTTCCATTACTTTTTCGCGGTCACTATCCACTTTCATCAATCCAAAAAGATCCAATTTTTTCATTTCTCTGCATTCAAGCTCCACCTCCCCATTCCAAAAAGCCCCACCCACCTCTTTCTCTGTTAAATCTATTCAACACAAAGAGTAGTTTTATTCCTTTAGATTATGCATAATACATGCATGGCCTCCTTAATTAATGGAGATACATCATTTTTAGGGTAAGAAATGATTTTTATAAATCTATTAATTAATGTAAGTTGTAAGGCCAGTACAGCTTACCTTTCAAGGGATTGAACACCTCATTGTACGATTCGGCAAACGCACTAAATGATGTCCAGGCATGGTTGCTAAAAAGTGTAATAAAATCCTCAAAACCTATCGAGACTTGTGTGCTCTAAGAGCATATTGGACGGACAGACACTATTCAATGCCTATTTGTCCATTACTATTAACTGTACTATGTCTATGTTTATATTCTGTAAGCAATGTTTAAAAATAATTCAAGTAAAGGGCAGACCATTAGAAAAGTGGGGGGGTGGGGGGAAAGCAAAAATAAAAATCGAGCAGAGGAAACAGAAAAAAAAATCGTGCACCAAAAAAGTTAAACAAAAATTCAGGCATAAACTTTTGAACAGTGAAAATTATAAGCTGACTGTGGCTATCAGAGGTACAGTGTAAGGGTGCCCCCCAAATTTGGAAAATAAACAAAATTGATATTTGCTGTGTTGGTGCAGTGTACTCAGGTGAATAAGATGCTTGTGATGTTACTCTGAGTGTGGATATGTTACTCTGAGTGTTGATATAAGTAATGCTGTGAAATTTGCAACGTTTTTTGATATAAGTAATGATGTGAAAAAAATTCCTAACCTAAATTTTGCAGATATTGGTGAAAAAAGGGGATTTAAGCATGTTTTAAAAAGAATTTGTCAGGGAAAATTTGTTTTGAACCTTAATTGAACTGATGTTAGTCCGGAAAATATTTTGAGCCTTTTTTGTGTTCTGAAATAATGTTTTTTAAAAAATATCGACACAAGCAAAAAAAATTGAAAAAATAATCGTACAGGTTGAAAATGTCTCCCCATCACTTTTCTAATGATCCGTCCCTAAGTTTGAAAACTATAATTAGGGAGTGTTAATTATTTTTGGAGAGGAGTGGTGGTGATAATCGGGAGGGGGCAAATGAAGTTTTACCCGAATAAATAGGGGGGGTCAAAAAAGATTTAACCTAAAGAAAGGGGGAATGAAAAAAAAGGTTTTAAACTTAAATACCATGTCTACAATTCTGATTTCTATAATCACAAATAACATAGACTCGCAAATCATAATGCCGAAGAGCTAAAGAAGATACTAGATATTCAAAATTTCCCTGCCGATCAAAACCATCGTGGCGCGTCGTGGGAGTCAGGCCCACTAAGTTTAACAAGCTTCCTACCTCCTAAGTGACAGTTGTGGTATTTACATAAACTTACCATGCAAGTACTTATTAACTGATCAGATTCGGTCCATCAAAGCACAATGTAACGCTGTACATCCAAAAATCTCAATTGATCACATTTCAGTTTTATAGCCAATTATAGAAGTGGAAAAATACAAAACATTTTCTGGGGGATATATCCCCTGACCTCCTATTAGTACATACGATACCACACAAAACTTTTTGTCACCAACAACCATATGTCATAGTAACATATAATATATATTTTTTAATCATATATGGTTGAATCATATTCACCAGGGTAACACATCATGAGCTATTAAACAGATTGTCCCATACTGGGGGGTTGGGAGGGTCAGAAAAATTTCTACTTCTATGACCGGGGAGGGAGCACAACAGGTTTGCTTTAAGTCTGGAAGGGGTCAAAAAAGCTTTCAATCCTCATTTTCCCCATTTACCAACCCTCTATCATAAATAACGAGCACTCATTTATTTTTGAGTCACAGTTTTGTGGCAATCCCTGTGCATTGTAACAATTTTCCTGTCCCTCTCTTTTTCCGATTCTACATTCAAGGGGCCCTACAGTCATTCAGTCATTTTTTAGTCGAAAAGCCACGTTAAGCGGGGGACTCCACGGAGATTTGTTTGGCTGTATCTTACATGCAGTATCCATGAGTATGAGTACTTCCGCACACCGGAAGACGCATGCATGCCATGGTGCGCATGTCAAGTAGCGACAATAACAAAAAATGTAAACAATGGCTTTTCGACTAAAAACTTACTGTATTAAAGGCCCCTTTAAAGGGACTCTACAGTCATTTTTTAGTCGAAAAGACACCTTAAGTAGGGAACTCCACGGAGATTCGTTTGGCTGTATCTTACATGCAGAGTATCCATGAGTATGATCATGAGTACTTCCGCACACCGGAAGACGCATGCATGCCGTGATGCGCATGTCAAGTAGCGACAATAACAAAAAATGTAAACAATGGCTTTTCGACTAAAAAATTACTGTATTAAAGGCCCCTTTAAAGGGACTCTACAGTCATTTTTTAGTCGAAAAGACACCTTAAGTAGGGAACTCCACGGAGATTCGTTTGGCTGTATCTTACATGCAGAGTATCCATGAGTATGATCATGAGTACTTCCGCACACCGGAAGACGCATGCATGCCGTGATGCGCATGTCAAGTAGCGACAATAACAAAAAAAGTAAACAATACTTACTCAAGACTCAATCTCGTACCCAGAGCAATGCCTGTGCGCGGGCTAGGATGGCATTGGCTCTGGGGAAATTGACAACCGGAACCCCTAAATTTAGGGGTTCCGGTTCTTTGTCGGCATGCACGATTGATAAACGTTAAACCAATCACAGCACAAGAAAATTTCAATTCCCTCAGAGGCAGTCAGAGCCAATGCTATCCTAGCCCGCGTACAAGCATCCTAGCCCCCGTTGGTTGCTTTCAACATGGCGGCCAAAAGGTAGGGAGGGTGGGGGGGGGAGGATTAGGGGGGAGTTAGGATCTAGCCATGGATTTAGCTGGTTTCGACTCCAGTAACTTTATTGATTCTGTGCTGGAAGGCCAGTATTTTTAAATCTTAATTTTAAAATTATACCTTAAGGAAGCCATCCAGTCATACACATTGCGGTCAAGGAAACAACAATCCGATGACTCGACAAGTGGCCTTTAGTTTGGATACAGCCTAGACCTAGACCTTCTAGTCCTATTTATATTTTTTCATAATCAGCGCTTTTTCACATGAAAAGACTGGGACTAGGTGATTTGGGGCCGGGGCGGAGGAACCAAGCCTAGAAGGCCTAGTTGATTTCCCAACAACATGGCCAAAACTGCCCTGAAACTGCCCTGGTTGCGAAATGCCCAATTATTGCGTTCTCAAACAGAATTACTTGCAACTTAACGGCGAATTTAAACCGATACAGGTAAAATAAACTCATTTATAGTATAAACTTACTATTTTTATTTGTATACACGTCTAGAAAATCGGGGTTTTTATCATAAAGTTCGAAGCAACACTATTATTTAATATGTTGACATTTACTTGACAAGGTGTAGCGAAAGCACAAAATGAGTCAAAATATATACCAAAAGTAGAATCTTTCATGAAATTTTGTCTTATACACAACTACATTAATATATATTTTCTCAATTTTGGCAAGAAGCAATCTTGTGTTTGTAAAATATACAAACACATATACAATTATAATTTATTAAATAAAACGGATACATATATTATTAGCCCGTACAGTACTGTATATAAAAACGTACATTGTTTACAAATGGTATATCCGTAATATTTGAACAATAATTTCAAATTCCTCATTCCCAAATATAGTTATTCAAAGCAAAACAGTAGATTGTCTTGCGAATAAAAGAATTATTATTTTGTGCTTTCGCTTCACCTTGTCAACATAATAATAGTGTTGCTTCAAGCTTTATGAAATTATGATAAAAACCCCGATTTTCTAGACGTGTATACAAATAAAAATAGTAAGTTATACTATAAATGAGTTTATTTTACCTGTATCGGTTTAAATTCGCTGTTAAGTTGCAAATAATTCTGTTTGAGAACGCAACAATTGGGCATTTCGCAATCAGGGCAGTTTCAGGCAGTTTTGGCC